GGTCGGGTCGGGTCGGGTCGGTCGGGGTAGACGCGGGCGACGCGACGCCGCGCCAGTGGCGGTGCGGTGGTGGCACGGCACCCTTCTTTTCTCCGCCACGAAAAGGTACTTGAAATAAATTGAAAATGGCTGGTATCGCTCTGGCCCCCGGACAAGTGATACCTACATCATCTACACGCACACTAGCCTCCCCCCTTTCATCGCTTTTCACCCTATACCCCTCTCCCTCTCTATCTCCGTTCCGCGTTCTTTTATGAATTCGAAACGCGCGGCGACGTTCGAGTCAGATCGGAATCCGGTCGAATCACTTCAATTAATTTAATCGAGGGTAGATAGGTAGGTAGGTAGGTAGGTAGGTAGGTGGATAGGTAGGTGGGTGGAATAGAAGGAGCGAGGGAGAAATAAATAGTGCGTGTCTTGGAAAAGTTTGTATAGGAAGCTTGTTAATCGGGACTGTACACGTATTTCTTGGCATTGAATCACAAGATTAGTTTGTAACGTTCCAAGTATTAAATCATCATATTCATCGAGGAGATAAATGATGTGATATATAGGTATTTTAGCTCTAAAACAAGTCCTTTTAAAATATATTTAAACTTGTATGTCACTATTACTCAATGATAAACATTTAAAAATCAACACATCAATTAAAACAAAAATCATCTTCAGTGTTACAATTGTAATATTAGAGATGACTTTTGTTAAAAGATCGAAACTTTGTTGCTTATATGTTTAGGTATCAAATTATTCATTTGAGCAAAGACATCTAGCAATTGACTTTTTCTGTTAGTTGTTGATTTTTAAAAATGATGTATATCTATCGCAAAGTTACGCATTAAAAATTTTAACACTTTTTTATTCTTTGAAATAGAAATCGCATTTGTTGTAAAATCTCAAATCCAATATATTGTCTTGTATTCTCTCATTTCTTCTTTTCTCATACGTGAAAATTTATTTATATATATATGTAAGTTTACGTAGTCGCTCTAAAGAAATGGCAAGATTAAATTTTATCCCTGTTTTTGAAAAACGAAATAATATCGCGATGACTCGCGATATTCAATAAGTTCTTGCCGTTCTTGGTTCCAGAGAAAAGTTGTTGGTTTGCCCGGTTTGCGCAGTTTTTCGCGTGCGTTGACGCAGAGCCGTATAAACGAGGGCGCGGCACATACATATACGTATATGAGTGTATATGTATACACACACTCGTGTACGTAATCTCACATATATACGCGCATACACGTAGCAGTAAGCCAAGGCACACACGAGCGCGACAAGGTGT